AGTAATGTTAGACCATAAACAAAAGCATAATATCCATATATAATTGGGCCAAACTGGTTACTCAGTCTTCTTTGGAAATATAATACATACATATGTTTGCTATATAAAGGGCACTATTCTCCCTGGCTACAAAGAAGAGAAATTGATTTTGAACAGCCTCAGCAGAAATTTATTGGAAAAGACTTTGGTAGAATACAGAATTCAGAGAAGAATCTACAAAATCAGCCTGTGTCAGCCCCCAAATAGAGCTAGTCACAATTAGTCCACCGGCAAGGAGTAATCTCTCTGTGCTATTACTGTCAGCACATTACCTCCACTTGACAGCTCTGACACAGTGTTAGAACCTATATAATCTCAGGACCTTGAATTGCATAAGGGGACTCACCTACAGACATAGTTAAATCACCATCTGACCCTAGATCTTTTTTTCATCTCCTCAGGAATTAATATATAGAACATAAGTATCTCATTCAACATGTTTGGATCATGTACCAGTTGCCAGACAAAAGGGAGAAGACCCCGAGTCTTATAGTGGAATGGGCTACTAAGATTATTCAGGTTAATGAAAGCTAAAATTGAGATTAGTTAGTAGTAAAGATACACCCTACACTGATATTTCCAAAATAAAGTAAAGTAAGTGGAGTAACCTAAGTTAAAAACAGACATTTTCCACAGAGTCCCAGAGACAGACTCTATTTGAGACAGGGGATGATGAAGGGATATAGTAGGTAGTATTAGATATAAACTTTGAAGTAGTTTAATTCAAGCATTAAGTTAAAAAAAATACAGTCTTAAATATTTTCGGGAAACAGGAGAGAATACCTTTCAACTTATTTTAATGAGGCATATATAAGGCTAGTTACCAAAATGTTATGAATATATTAGGAGAAAAAATTAGACTAGTATCCCTGGTGAGCATAACCACAAAAAAATCATTGGTAAATAATTAACCAATTGAACTCAACAATATATAAAAAGTATTACATCATGATACATTGGATCTCACTTTAGGAATACAAGGTTAGTTTAAAATTTAAACTGTGACCAAAGCTATACACAGCATTTTTTAACCTTCCATCTCAACAGCTACATAAAAAATATTTGATAAATTCAATGTTCATTCATGGTTTTAAGGAAAATATTCTCAAACTAAAATAAGTTGATCTCCTGAATTTGATGTTAGCAACAAAACATCAACAGCTAACATATCTTTAATGGTGAAACATTCAACAGTTTCCTAAAGGTCAAAAATATGTCAGTGGTATCAGCTACTATTTAACATTTTACAAGAAGATAATTAAATGAAAGGCATACAGATTAAAAAAGAAAAAGTAAAACTATGCATAATAGCAGATGACATTGTATAAAAAAATGTTATTCAAAGTTCAAGAAATATCCTAGAAATAATTACAGCAATTTACAAAAATTCAATTATTTTTCTATATATATTGACAGACTAGTGGAAATGAAATGGCATATCATTTATAAAATTATCAAATAATATCAAATACCCAGGAATAAATCAAACAAAAATTACTACAAAACACAAAACCTTAAGAAAAATTAAAGAAGACAAGGAAAAGATCAAATATGTCCATGTGTTGGAAGGTTAAAAATTATTAAGATACCTATTTCCCAGAAATTGATCTATATTAGATACAACATACTTTGATCAATATCACAACACCATACTTTACAGAAATTGACAAGATTATATATAATATATCATTAATACATATTAAAATTTATATGGGAAATACAAAAATCTGAAGTATTGATAAGCCAAAGCAATCTTGATAAGCAAGAGCAATGCTAGAGAACTTAAACTACCTAATTTCAAGACATACTATAAAGCCACAGTAATCAAGACAGTGTGATAGTAGTCTAAAAATAGATAAATTCAACAGATGAGTGACCAGAAATAAACTTGCACATGTATGTTTAACTGATTTTAAATTAAGGTGGCAAGTTAACTCAACAAATAAAGTATTGTGGTACTACAAAAATAGATATTCAAATGGGTAGGAAAAAGAACCTCTACCACTCACACCATATACAAATAATAAGTTGGAATATATCGCAGACCTAAACATTAAATCTTGAACCATAACATTTCTAGAAGAAGACATATGTCAATATAGTTACAATATTGAGGTCAATTCATCCTCACTGAGTTAAGAATTTATGACCTTCAGTAAGAATTTGAAAGATATGTATTCATAAGATATATAGAAATGATACAATATTTACCAATTTTGTAAACAAACATTGTTAAATGCCTAGTTATGTGCTAGAGCAGCGAAGATTGCAGACATGACCCCTGCTCTCACTGAGCTGGAAGGAAGGAGGAGAAGGAAAGGCGGCACCAAGAAAGGACAGAGGGAAATTAGGAAGTATTGCAGATAAAATGAAATTACCTATTACAATTGATGCCTCTTAAAGTTTTCATGATTCTCCCTAAAAATAATAAAGGAACTGGAATGAAAAACAAAAGTAGATACTGCTAAGAGAATGATATCACCAAAGTGATAGTATAGAAGACCCCATTTGGAAGAAGGTTGAGGCTCTTCTTTCAAAGGATGTTACACCATAAAAAAAAAAAAGACTCCAGTCCCTGTTTCCCAGCAAACAAAAATAGCTCTGGCATAGCTTTCAAATACACTTAAAAAACTTCAGCAAAACAGTAGAACAAAAAACCCAAGAATAACTGCATAAAAAGGAAGACCACTTCATTTTGCTTATATCATCCTGTTTCCCAAGCTAGCAATGCTCAGGGCCAAGGGGGAGTTCCCCAACCAGAAAGAGTTCCCCTTGCTGGGAAAGGAAAAGCATGGTGAGCAGCCACCTTTCCCAGCTTTCTACCATCACAAGAGAGTCCTACTTCAGTTTCATCTCACCCAAACCAGCAAGGCTGAGACCTACAGAGATGACTGAAAAAAAGGGAGAAAAACAGGGGCTACCAATAGTAGCCACACAACAAGAGCAATTGCAGTTCACAGTGACCTGGTCTGCAAACACAAAAGCTACTGAATGAATGGAAAGCCAGCATTGCGTTCTGCAGATCCTGTAGATTTCACCAACTTTCACCTCACAGGTATTCATATTTCCTGATACCAGCTGCCTGAGTCTTTCCAGCAACTTTTCCCACACCACCCACCAGAGCCCCTAAATTAACCCTGGTAGCCAGCCCAGGCCTCTGCAGCTGCACAGTGCAAGATTATAGACTTGACCCCTATGGCTGATCCCCAACAGCATGCATACATGTCGCGCGCCCCGTCCTCGCCGGCAAGAACAGCACGCAACAACAGCAGGATTCTTCTGCAGAAAGCTTTATTCTTCAGCTCTTTGTGAAACAAATGAGTTGGGCAGGACCCAGAGGGGAAGGAGAGGCTTGCTTATATAGTTCTCATGCTCTGACCTGGTTGGTGCGGCTCCATATGCCTTATTAGCATAACAATTTGGTGGGTCTCATTGGTCCTTATGCCAAGGCGCAATTAGCATGTAGTTTAGTGGTATGGGATGATTTGTCATTAGGAAGTTCAGGGCCTTCCGGCTGCCCTGCATTGGGCGCTATTTTCTGAGCACAGCTGCCAACAATAAAGGCCATAGATGACAAGTCCACCGCTAACATCATACTCAATGGCAAAAGGTTGAAAACTTTTCCCTAGGATCAGGAACAATAAAAGGGTGCCCACTCTTACCAGTTCAGTTCATCATAATGCTGGATGTCAAAGCTATAGCAATCAAGCAATAAAAATAAAAGGCACGACTTTGAAAGGAAGAAGTAAAATTGTCTTTTTCCAGATTATATGATATTTTATACATAGAAAATGTCAAAGAATCTACCCAAAAAAATGTTTAGAATAAACAAATTCAGTAAAGCTGTGGCACACTATCAACATACAGAATTAGTTGTGTTTCTATGACAAACAATGGAATGTCTGAAAAAGAAATAAAGGAAATCCATTCACAATTGCATCAAAAATACTTCAATACTTAGGAATAAATTTAACCAAGAAGATGAAAGATCAATACACTGAAAACTACAAAGCTCTGATGAAAGAAATTCAAGACACAAACAAGTTGAAAGATTTCTTTTGTTTGTGGATCAGAATTAATACTGTTAAAATGCCCATACAATGCAAAGCAATCTAGAGATTCAATACAATCCCTATCAAAATCCAGTGGCATTTTTCACAAAATTAAAAAAACAACCCTAAAATTGGTATGGAACCACAAAGAGCCAAAGAAATCCTGAGAAGGAAGAACAAAGCTTGAGGTATCATACTTCCTAATCTCACACTATACTACAAAGTTATCATAATCAAAACAGTATGGTCATGGCATAAAAACAGACACGGGCAAATAGAAGAATCAACAGCCCAAAGATAAACTCACATATACGGTCAACTGATACTTGACTAGGGAGTCAAGAAAATTCAATGGGAAAAGGAGAGTCTCTTCAATAAATGGTCTCTTGAAAACTGGATAATCACATACTGTAAAATGATATTAGACCCTTATCTTACAACACTCACAAAAATTAACTTGAACTGCATTAAAAACTTAAACATTAGAACTGAAACCATAAAACTCCCAGAAGAAAACAAAGGGAAAAGCTCCCTTACATTGTTCTCAGCAATGATTTTTTTGGATATGACACCAAAAGCACAAGCAAAAAAAGCACAAGTCAACAAGTGGGACTACATCAAACTGTAAAGATTCTATACAGGGAAATAAATAACAAAATGAAAAAGTGGGGTTCTATGGTGTTGGAGAACATATTTGTGAAGTATATTTTATAAGGGATTAATACAAAATACTTAAAGAATTCATAGAACTCAATAACAAAAGCAACCAGTTTAAAAAGGTGGGCTGAGGAAATGAGTATTTTTCCAAAGAAGATGTACAAATGGCCAACAGGTATATGAAATGTGCTCAACATCACTAATCAAGGCAAATCATAACCCCAAAGAGATAATCAACTCACACCTGTTAGAATGGGTATGATCAGAAAAGAGAACAATGTTGACGAGGATGTGGAGAAAAAGGGAACCCTGTGTCCTGTTGGTGCAGGACCTGATCTGAGCCCACAAGCAGCTGCAGGGACCCTGGATGTCAGTGAAGTCAGTGTACTCTCTCATGGCTGTATGGTCTTCCCCTAAACATGCAATAGTAGTAAAGGCAAGTGAAGGGTGTTAAGTCATGCAAATATACAGCTGGAGGGAATACCCTCAAGTGTATGTGTCGCGCGCACCGTCCTCGCCGGCAAGAACAGCACGCAACAACAGCAGGATTCTTCTACAGAAAGCTTTATTCTTCGGCTCTTTGTGAAACAAATGAGTTGGGCAGGACCCAGAGGGGAAGGAGAGGCTTGCTTATATAGTTCTCATGCTCTGACCTGGTTGGTGCGGCTCCATATGCCTTATTAGCATAACAATTTGGTGGGTCTCATTGGTCCTTATGCCAAGGCGCAATTAGCATGTAGTTTAGTGGTATGGGATGATTTGTCATTAGGAAGTTCGGGGCCTTCCGGCTGCCCTGCATTGGGCGCTATTTTCTGAGCGCAGCTGCCAACACTTTATTATGTTGATGTTCATTCCTCTTATATCTAATTTCATTAGAATTTTTTATCAGGTAAGGATAGCGAATTTTGTCAAATGCTTTTTCAACATTTATTCAGTTTATCATATGATGTTTGTCTTTCATTCTATTAATCACATTTATGGATCTCTATATCAACAACATCCTTATATCCCAGGAATAAATCTTGCTTGATTATATGATTCCTTAATCTATTGATTGAATTTAGTTTGCTAATCAGAATTTTTGCATCTGCATTCATAAGGGATTTGATCCATAATTTTATTTTATTGTAGTATCTAGCAGGGAAGGGGACCACGTGTGGGTGTGTAGTGGCACCCAGTTCAGGAGAGCAGTATTTCTCTTTGGCTCAGGCCACTGGGGTCCAAAGCAATGAAAACTGTGTGGTCCTTGGACAGCACCGTGGGGATCCACATTGGCTGCAAGTACTATTGGCTTTCTCAGTAGCACATCCAGGTCTACTGGCTAGGGACCAGGATAGGAAACTTAATGGTGGCCAGAGTCGCTGGTATACATACATTCAGCTGTAGTGCCTGTGTAGTGGCAGAGGCTGGTTGTAGACTCACAAAGTGGTGGAGTCAGGGAAGTTAGTAAGTGCCAGAGCTCACTGCAGGCACATTGGCAGCTGTGGTGGTCCTGGCTGTCAGTGTGAAAATATGTGTTTTGGGGTCTGAATACAAGTGCATGGCGATAGAGGCTAGTGATGGAGATCCTGCCAGCAGCTATGCATGTGCACAGCTGAAGGGGCTAGGCGCAAGTGAGTGAGGTGGTGCAGAGCCTGATCACTGGTGTACAGCCACTGTGGAAAACAGTAGGGAGGTTCCTCAAAAAATTAAAAATAGAACAACCATTTGATTCAATGATTCCACTTCTGGGTACATATCTAAAGGAAAGGAAAACAGGCTATTGAAAAGTAACTGCACTCTTTGTTTGTTGTAGCATTATTCACAATGACTAAGGTATGGAAACAATATATCAAGAGATAAGTGGATAAAGATATGGTATGTATATATATAATGGGCTATTATTCAATCATGAGAACGATGGAAATCCTGCCACTTGCAACAGCATGGACAGACTTTGAGGGGTTTTTGCTTTCACTTAGAGGTATAAGAAGAAGTATCATCATACTGTGTGATATAACTTATATGTGGAATCTAAAAACTGGAGTTGTAGAAACAGAGTAGAATGGTGATTACTAGGGGCTTAGAAGTTGGAGAAATTGGGGAGATGGTCAAAAGGTACAAATTTCCATTTGTAAGGTGAATAAGTTCTGGGGATCTAATGTGCAGCACTGTGATTATAGTCAATAATATTGTTATATACTTGAAATTCATAAGAAAATAGATCTAAAATATTCTCACCAATGAAAAGAAATGGTAGATATGTGATGTGAGAGAGGGTGTTAGATAACACTATGGTGGTAGTCATTTTGCCATATATAATTGTATATCATCAACACACTGGACAAGTTAACTTACATACCGTTATATGTCTATTACATCTCAATAAGGCTGAAAAAAATCAGATAAAGATGCATTAACTTGGAAAATTTCACTTTATTCTAATCATTTGAGACCAAAATTTCTACATTTGTATAATGTTTTTGGTTTTAAAACCACAACTAGTAGGGAAAGCAGCTATAATTCCATAAAATTTACTCTTTTGATTGTCTCTCTGGATCTGTTTTCTGTTATATATTTCTATTATTGAAAACCTACTCAAATTATAAAAATTTTTAAAGGCAAACTGGAAACTGATGCAGATTTGTTAGAGTTGTTCTTTCTTTCAAATACCTAAAAATTAATCATATCTTTGGCAATACATGTTTTCTAGACTGTCCTAGAAACCCTATTTGTGCACCAGATTATCAAATATTTTTAAATCATGAAATGTTCATTTTGTTAATTAATGCACATGTATAATTTTTTAAACATACATTTTATAGATGTGTGAGTGAACAATTGGTCCTCAGAATGATTATGGAAGAACTCAAATGAACTCCATTTGTTACTCTGCAAAAGGCTAGATTACAATTTCACACTTTTTAAAAATCACATTTTCACAATCTCTGAGATATCAGTGCTCCCTGAAGTTATCTGTCTTTCCCAAAGTAGAGATTCAGTGTATATTTTGTAGTCAATGTCACCTTTATTAAATAGGAAAAAAACATTCCAGCCAGCTCTTTCATCTCTGACATTTTCCAAAGAATCATCTGTCACTAAGGAAAGGTACATTGTCTCCTGCAAGTTGAATTCCATGTCACTTAAGAAGAAAGTTTATTATCTGTGTTTCAAGTCAAAATATAATATTTAAAACTGTCACAGTTTATTTATATAACAGTCTTACTGTTTGTGGTATTTTTCTCTAAATCCAGGCTTGGTAGCTCAGAATCATGCCTGTGAACAATGGGCAATAAGAAACCTCTGCATTCTAAGAGCTTTCAGTTGTTGGGGCCAGCCATTTTTTTTCACAGGGCTTGTAGGTAGATACTTTGTAGAGTCTGGAATGCTTTACTCATGAACACACTTCACTGGAATAGGTGTGACTGCTTTTCATTCCTATAGACAAGCCAGGGGTATTTTGAAGGAATCAATAAGAAAATGTCCTTCAGCATAGAATATATAATACATAAATTATATAATGGAATATATATATATATATGTGGAATGTTATTCAGCTCTAAAAAAAGAAAGAACAACATTTTGCAACAACATGGATGAAGCTAGAGGACATTATACCTAGGAGAACAAGTGAGACACAGTAAGGGAAATAGCACATGATCTCCCTTACATGTGGAATCTAAAATAGTCAAACTGATAGAATCAGAGAGTAGAATGGCAGTTGCCAGGGTTTAGGGGGTGTAAGAAATGGGGTGATATTGTGCAAGGGATACAAATTTTCAGTTATGCAAGATTAGAAAGAGATTTTATAATCAACAAAATGATGAGAGTTGACAATACTGTATATCATATATTTGAAATTTGTGTAGATTTTCTCAATGCACATACAAAATGTAGAAGTAATGGATATGTTATTAAGCTTGATTATGGTAATCCTTTCACAATGTATAAATTATCATAACATCAAGTTGTACACCTTAAATATAAACATTTGTATGTCAAAGATATCACAATAAAGCTATTTTTTAAGTTCATAATTCTGAACTACTGTATTTCTGCTAGATTGGAAACTAATGAACATCTTTTCTGTAAATTTTCTGAAACTCTTGAACAACATACCAAATGATTGTGCTGGGACATGTTGGGCAATGAAGTGAATCGCCCTGTACTTTTATCATTTATCCTGGTTGAAAAGAAAACAACCTGGCAAGTGTCCACCAAGGGGCTGCAGGACCTTAGAAGCTCATCTCTGGCATAATGGAACCTCTCTGATAGGAACTAAGGAAAATGAACAAGGTAACATAGTCACACTATAGTTCCCATTCCTGGAAAATGCATCAAGAAAGAAATAGGACAATCAGGGTCCTCAGAACATACCAATGTGCTCCATGAAAGAGGGACATTTTGCTACCTTGTAAACAGAGGGAGAGGGAATGACCAGAGAGGTAGCAACATCACTTTGCAGGAGAAGACAGTTACAGACGTCTCTTTTATCCCCCCTCCCATTCTGTTTTTACAACACCAGAGAAGATTCCTTTCACAGAGCTAAAATTAAGTCAAGGAGTACTAGGAAGATGGGAGGAGAAAAACTTTAAATCAAAATAAGATACTAACTTTTCAAAATGAACAGGGCTGATTCACAGTAAAAACTATAATAATATTCTCTGAATAGTCAAACATTAATGAAAAATGGGATCAAGCAGAGGTATTATTAAACATCTGTTTATTCAGTGGAAAAGAGGAATTCAAAGAGCTTGGTTAGGAACAGTTATTTTAAAAAACTTATACTATAAACAAGCTGAAATTCACGAATAATTAAACTGTATTTCCTACAGGCTAGCATATTTTGAAACAACAATGTAGCATATTTGAATGAGTACAGGATTTGAAATTCAACTCCTAGCTCTGCCACTAATTATGCATCACTGAGTAGCTCAGTTAATCTCCCCAGATATGTTTGTTTATAAAAAGATACTACAAAGTCTTACTTTTCTAACTCACAGGATTATTTTGAAGGTTAAATTAAGATAATTGAACTAAAGAACATCTTATTAACTACGGTACAATTCAGTAGAACCCATAATAATGGAGGAGAGATTTAGAAGCCATGTAATGTGTGTCTGATTCCATCTGATAAATGTTTTTCTCATTGCTTTCACACCGTTCACTTGTTTTCACATTTATACACTTCCAGAAACATATAGAGCTTTGTTATCAGTGTACTTTACAAAGGAGACACAATTTATGGGATAATTTGGAGGAAAAGGGAAGAGAAGACTGTATTATGAAAGCAAGATTGTCCTTTCTGCTACTCACGTTTATTCATATGTTTTACCCATATTTAAGTCAATGTCCATTATGTATGCATCACTAATCTAGCTGCTTTTGTTGTAGAATTGTTGAGGAGATGATATGGTCAGAGTTGGAGAGAAAAAAAGCACATGTAAATACAAATGTATTTGTGTAATGTGTATATAAAAAATACATAAATGAATATGTAATGTGTGTATATATAAACATGTGATGTTCATATTTCCAAAAGTTTGGGAAATTTTTCATTTTATGAAGAAAAACTAGTAAGAAACAATGTAGAGAATAGCAGGCAGTAAGGGTAAATCTGGGTCTTTTCAATAAGCTGACCACACATGTAAATTCATATTTAAGCACACACCTAACTGAGGCAAAAATGCCTGCAACTCACTGATAGAAAAGCTTCCCAGTCAGAAGGTTAGGAGAGCAAAGGAACTATTCTTTGAATAATCTGGGAGTGTTTGAGGAATGGTCAAATGACTCAGAAGTGAGAAAAAAAAAAAAAAAAAAAACGTCCAACAGGCAAATAGGGGCCAAACTGTGAAGGCCTAATGTGAGCTTGGAAGGGAAAAGACGATTCTGAGATGGAGTTTCATTATTCAAAGACAACTCTAATGGGTTTATGAAGAAAGTGATTCTGTAGTATATTTTAAGCTCATATTGTGCTAGCCTTGAAAGTTAATTGTGGCGTTCACTGGAGTGGTAGACCTGTGATGAGAATTATAGTCAGGATTCATTTTATATGCAGACAGCACAAGACATGGATGCGGGCAGGAAACAGCAAGATAAATTAAGGGTAGCCCCAAAATTGTTGTTTTTAATGATAGAGAAGAAAAAGCAGAGATATGTCCACTATGTAACTCAAGATTCAAAAAGTATGTGTGAACATCCTATTCGTACCTTATCCTAAATTTGTTAGTTTATCCCAAATCTTTCTTTTGGTTCTCACAGTATACTTATATTAGTTTAATAAATCCAATATTTAAAGCATTTTCATTTGGTCTTTGAACATTTCTATTCTATTTATTTGCTGTTAGCAATGATTCATCAATGGGAGGTAATTATGAAGCAAGTT